GTAGATGATAATTTTCCAGTGAACAAAGGGCCATCCACAAGAATTTAAAAGTATCATCCTATAGAAAATGTGATTGGGATATAAATGAAGGAGTCATCACTAGTTCCAAGGAAGTCATTGCTAACATGTGTTTCATCTATAAAATATAATCCAATAACGTCAAGGAGGCCCTAAAGGGGAATATTGGATAAATGACATGCAACAGGAACTTGGTCAATTTGAAGAAACAAAAAGTGAGAGTTAGTCCCCAAAACCTACTCTTCCATCATTATTGGAACCAAGTGGATATACAAAACCATGTCAGGTGAAAATGGTTATGTCATAAGAAACAAGGTCTGTCTATTTTATTAAGGGTACACTCAAAAGGAGGGAGAATATTTCGATGAAACCTTTGCACATGTTGCCCGCTTGGTATTCGACGTATATGTGTCTCCTCTTTTGAGGTTTACCACTCACTTGCCCTCTAATAAGGCATTTACGAATATATCACTACATAGTCCCTCAAGCATGATGGATTTGAAAAAGGGAGAACTGCTTTTAAACAGCATAGAATTGAGGAATCACGAATACCTAAATCTCCCAGGTAAGTTTATATATTGATCCTGGCAGATGAGACCACAAGTGCCTTAGGCGGGGCATTAGATCTCTCGGGCGAGACTACTATCAAGCCCTTAGACAAGACTTTTAAATAAAGTCTCTTTGAATAAACTTCATATGTGCCCCTTGGATGAGTTTTTATGTAGGATCCCACCCGAGGAAACTCCAGGTCTCTCGGGCGAGGAGTTTATATATGCTTGTTCTTTATGACTCTCAGTCCCTCATGTGAGATTATATTGAGCTTGGATGATAGAATTCAATTACCCCAAGCGAGGCTTTAGACCTCTTGGGTGAGACTTCTATCAAGCCATCATGAAAGACCTTTAAGTTACGTCTCTTAGGATAAACTTCCTTCGCACACGCCTTAATAAACTCTAAGTGCCTCAGGAGAGGAGTTTAGATAGGCGAGTTTGATGGGACTCTCAGTGCCTTAAGTGAGATTATGTTAAGCATCATTGATGAGACTTAAAGTCCCTTGTGTGAGCTATTAGACCTCTCAGACGACACTTCTATCAAGCCCTCAAAAAATACTTTAAGCGAAGTCCTTTGGGCTAGACTTCAGTTGCACCCCTTGGGCAAGATTTTATGTAGGATCTCGCCTGAGGAAACTCCAAGTTCCTCATGCGGAGATTTTATATTGGCTTGTCCAATTGGACTCTCAGTCCTTTATGCAAGATTATGTTAAGCCTGGCTGATGAGACTTCAAGTCCTTTAGGCGAGGCATTAGACCACTCAGACATAACTTCTATAAAGCCCTCAGACAATACTTTTAAGCTAAGTCTTTTGGGCTAGACTTTAGTCATTCCCTTTGGTTGATATCTTATGTAGGATCCTGCCCGAGGAAACTCAAAGTCCCTCAGGTGGGGAGTTTAGATAGGCCTCTTCAATGGGACTATTAATCGCTCAAGTGAGATTATGTTGAATCTGACTAATGAGACTTCGAGTACCTCGGGCAAGGCATTAAACCTCTAGGGTGGGACTTGTATCAATCCATCAGACACGAATTTAAAGCTAAGTATCTTTAGCTAGACTTCAATCGCACCCTTTAGGCGGTTGGTTCAGTTATATTGCCCTAGAGGGCGGAAATGATCTTCCTATGGAAATCCAATGCTTTCATACTGCCTTAATAGGTGGCAAGGACCTTCATATGGAAGCCCAACATCTTTGAATAGCCTTTCATGGTGGAAAGGATCTTCCCATGGAAGTCCATCATTTTAAAATAGCCTTTCAAGGTGACAAGGATCTTTGCATGAAAGTCCAACATATTCAAATGGCCTTTCTAGCCATAGACAATCTTCTTGCAGAAGTCTAATATATTTGAATAGCCTTTCAAGGAGGAAAGGATCTTTGCATGAAAGTCCAACATTTTCAAACAACCTTTCAAGGCAGCAATGATCTTCATATGAAAGTTCAACATATTCAAATAGCCTTTCAAGGCATGAAGGATCTTCTTGCGGAAGTCCAACATATATAACATCATGAAAAATGTCTTCCTTATTCACAAATAAACATTCAAAGGTTCACACACAGGCGTGCAATCTGCCCCATAAAAAGTACAAATAGTCTAACTATAAAAATATTTAAGACGGATAAAGTTCCAAGTTTTGGGTGTAGGCCTTCCATCCCATTCCTGTAGCTTGTGTGCCCCCGGGGGAACTTCTGGAATATGCGATACAGCCCCTCCTAGTTGGGTTTTAGCTTTCCCTGCTATGTAAGTAGAATCACCTGCCTTAAGAACATGTCACCTCCTCGCATATCTCTTGGCATGACTTTGGAGTTGTGTATTATGGAGGCTCTATGCTTGGTGACGAATTCTCGGATGTGGGAAACTTTTCTTAATTCATTGACTAGATCGTAGCACATTCCAACTCTGACTTGTTTACCTGGTAATTGAATTGGGAGTGTCACCATAAGGGTGTGTCAATCTCTACGAGAAACATAATGTTAGCTTTGTATACCATGGTGAATGGAGTTTCCTTGGTAGTGGAGTGGGCGGTGGTATGATATGACCAGGATATATAATCAATTAGATTTATAGCCTAATTGATTATATGAAGCAAAATCGATTATATAATCGATTATGATAGTATTTTAGTGATTGGTAACAACTTTCTATCAAAATATTTTAATTTGGGCATTAATAATCGATTATTGCAAGCACCTAATCGATTAGCTAATCAATTAGGTCATTTAATATGCCTATGGATTGTTTCCATTTTGATCCAATTTTTTTCCTATATAAAGGAGGCTTCTCCTCACTTCATTTCACGCCACAATTCAGGATTTCTCTAATTCTTCTATCTCTCTCTCTCACACACACACACAATTGTAAGAAAAGAGTTGGATTGATGTCGTGCCACTGTTTTCAAGAGTAGGATATTATTGAAAAATTAAGTTTGATTTTTTATATAAACCATTAGAAAATATTTGTTTGGTTATAAAACTCAAGCTGAAAAAGTTATGTTTGGTTATTGAGGTCAGACTGTAAAATCACTACTCAATTCGTGAGTTCAGCCCATGGAAAAAGCTCACTTTTAGTTGGGAATTAGACGGTGTAAAGTCTCTTGATTTGCTTGTATCAAAGTTTTGTGATCATAACGTGTAAAAATTTAATATTATAGTCAAATCTCAAGACGATCTCTTGGGGACCGGAGTAGACAATATTTAACCGAACTTAAATAATTCTTTAGTGCAATATCTCTAATCCTTATCTTTTAATTTCTACTATTTATTTTACTGTCTTTATTTTTCATGTTTTCTATTCTAATCTTAAATATACTAATACAATTTGTTACTTAAATATTAAAATTTTTAAATTAATCACGAATTTTAAATATACTAATCACAAATTTTAAATTCACTTTTTCAACTAAAGCTAGACCGATGGCCAAAGGTTTCCATTAGTATCAATTTTTACTTTACAAAAAGCTTTTTCCCCTATGGTTAAACCATTTACAGCCAGAGTTGTTCTCTCTCTAGCTATATCTAGAGTGTGGTTTATCACTTAACTAATATCAATAATGTCTTCTTTAGTGACATTCTTGAAGAGGTATACATGAATCAACCACCAGATTTTTTTAAACATTCTGACAAGGAGCTAGTATGCAAGCTCGATAAATTTATTTATGGCTTAAAACAAACCTCAAAAGGCATAGTTTGAGAGGCTTAATAGTGCTTTAAAAAGTCTTGGTTTCATTTCTAGTCAATATGATCATTCCTTATTCACACTCATAACACCAACTCACTCCATTTTGATGTTTGTGTATGTTGATGACATTATTGTCGCATGAAATTCAGAGCCTCGTATCAAGTCTTTGACAAAACAAACTTAATGATCAATTTTCGATCGAGCAGTTGGGCAACCTACAAGTTGTGCTAAGTCATATCATACCACCGCATGAAGTTGTGCTAAGTCAGAACAAATTAGTTACAGTTGTAACCAACTTTTCTGAATGAAAGATTAGAAAATAGAACAATGTGTAACTCTCTTTCATCTTCCTCTCAGTTTCTCACTTCCTAATACTTTGGTCTTTCAATATTAATATTAGGGATTAAATTGATAGTAAGTATTTGAAAAATAGGAATCAAATAAATAATAAATTGTACAATATTAAGACTTAATTAATAGTGAGTGGTTATATATAGCTATCACTTGTCATTGTTGAAAACCTTTATAGTAGTAACCAGAGACAAATTTAAAAATATTCTAGAGACAAGGGGATTAACTTGCTAATATACTCCATTTATATTTGGTGTGTTCACATAATATGTCCAAAATGCTTGTGGACCCAAAAACTATTGTAGATAAATAATGTGTGTGAATTCCAACTATCCTTCTTTGATATAGACCATAGACATCACTAGCAGCTTAAACATAAGATCCGCTTTATTGGAAGTGACTCATGGCAATGAGAGAAAAGCATTTTAATCTTTTCATTAAATTTAAGCTGTTCAATCTTAAAGTCAGATGACTGATTTTGAAAGATGTGATTAAAACCATACACAACCACTTTATTCACCCACCTTAAAAAAAAATCCCAATATCGACATTATGTGATGACTGCCATGTGGCATACAATTAAAATGAGAAAACACCCAAAACCATATATGAAAAAAGTCAAGGACTGAAACTGAAACTAATTGCTTAAGGCAAACGATATTGAAACTAGTTTTTGCTCTCATCATGGAAGCAAATAGAAGGCAAAGACTATCTATTTAGACAGAACTTAAAAGTACACAGGGAAAAACACTAAGCTAATATCAAAAGGTTCACACTCTCCTCCTCTCTCCATTCCTGGTAAGCACTAAAGTAGTTAGGCCTTCTCTTTGACTTTTATTGCTTTTCATTCACATAGCACATTCTTCAACTTTGGCCAATCTGGTATCTACAATTTTACAGTTTCTCACACAGTGTAGTGCTGCTGGATGGTATCAATGTCCAAACCTTTTAGCTTCACCACAGACTCGACATGTCCTTTGAGTGTGTGCAGCTCACGAAGCCTGTAAGTAATAAGCATAGATGAAATCGAATCAATCTTTGAATCGATATGTAGTAATGAGGATGATTATATATGTATAGCTTCTTTCTTACCTTGCAACTTCAGCTCTTCTCTTGGCCTGCTCAGCAATCTCAGATAGTTCCCTGTAACTGCTCTTCTCGTTGAAAATACCAGAACTCTCTGGTGGTTGAAGTCCATGTAGAGTCCTCTGAGCATGTGCCCATTGAGCTTCCCTCTCCTCTTTTCCATAGTCTTTCTTGGTGGTGAAGGCAGTCTGTCAAACATTTTCAAACAAGCAATCCATGAATATCATCATTTATCATTTTAAGAAATACATAGAGTTGGTTTGCCAATTACTTGATGAAAGAACCAATACCTTGTTGTCTAGGAGATTGTTCCAAGCCTTGCCACTCAATATGTAGCGGATGGCAAATTTCATCACGTCGAGTGGAATATAGAAGACAATACTGTAGAGCCAGATTACTCCTGCCCAACCCCAACCAATTCCTTGTACCTTTGCAAATCCCCAGTTGGCATATACTGCTATTAATGTAGCAATCTGAAACAAGTCACATTGTTCAAAACGTTATTATTATTACCCTGTCCAAACACTAGAAAATATTGAAGCATCGGGCATTTTTTTACCAGCTGAGCAATGAGGAAAGCAATGACTAAAAGTGCTCCAGGGCGTTCAAGAAACGACCAACCACGAGAACGGGTCACAAATATCAAAGCCTGGCTAACTATACTGACTTGAAGATACAAAGCAGACATCATTTCATCATGATTCAGATGCCTAACTCCAAATTTGTCCTGGAAAAGATAATCAAGCAGCATTTATATATTTGATCCACAACACGAACTTGAATATAGATAGGCCAATTTAATTATTTCTTACAGGGAAGAATTGATTTTCTTTAATTGCCCAGAAGAATATTACGGTCATCAGAGCTAAATAACCTCCAAGAACAATCCCAGTAGCAAATATTTCATTCAATTTCCAGCTATCGGGTAAGGGAGATGGAACCACCCTATCTTTTGAAATTGTCATAATTGTTCCTAAGAGTAGTATAAGAATTAATATGTCAGACTATCATATTATCAATCAGCAAAATCATGAAGGGAATTCAAGTCTAATTCAGAGAAATATCTGCAAAGAGCTTTACCATCATTAAGAATTGCAATAATCAAGACCATGAAAGGTGAGAAGTCAAATTTCCATATCAGTGCAATGAACATGAAGCCAAACTGCATTCAAAGGAAAAAATAATGAAAACTCAAACCAATAAATATTATTTCTCTTCTCATAATAAAGTTACATACGAAGATAACATTATTATTCACTTACCACTATACGGATAGTGATAGATACTGCATAGATCTGCAATGCAAAGAAAATAATGGAAAGTGTTAATTGAGAAACAACAAGAGCAAAACATATTGATTGTGAAGAAAGCAGACAGCAACAAACCGTGTAGTTTTTCATCCTTTGGAAAATAGCCCTACTAGTTAAGACTGCACTGATGATAACACTCAATCCAGGTTCTGTTAGGACAATATCAGAAGCACCTCTTGCGGCATCTGTAGCATCGGCAACAGCAATTCCAATATCGGCCTTCTTCAAAGCTGGAGCATCGTTGACACCATCTCCAGTCATTCCACAAATGTGTTTCCTTTCTTGCAACTTCTTTACAATTTCGTATTTGTGCTCTGTGGGTATAAATAGGATATGGTAAGCAGAGACATAGAAAGTAATCTCATAGAAAGTAAAGAGGGGGAATCATCATGGTGAAAATGGTTCTGCACGAACCTGGAAATACCCCAGCAAATCCATCTGCCTTCTCAATCAGCTCTTCAACTGGAAGTGCAGCAATACTCGCATCTTTGTCTTGACCAAGCAAGGTAGCAGATGGGTACATATTAGTTCCCATCCCAAGTCTCCTCCCAGTCTCCTTTGCTATGGCAAGTTGATCACCTTAAAAACAGAACAAAAGTACAGATATTAACTTGAGGATGCCTTGAAAACAAAATATTATTACATATAACAGTCTGTGATTGAAAAAAAAAATGGGGGAGATGAGAGATGAACGGATGAGAGTAGTTACCAGTAATCATCTTAACATTGACACCAAGATGAAGAGCTCTCCGAATAGTTTCAGCACTGTCATGCCTAGGTGGGTCAAACAGTGACAACAAACCAACAAACTGCCAAGGACCACCAGCGCTTTCTTTAGTTTTCTCAGGAACCTCCTGCAGAAGTAGAAGTAGTACAGAAGACCAAGGAATCAGTGAAAAGAAATATAATTTTCAAGACAAACTTCAATAGTGAGTACTAGCTATAAAATACCTGTCTAGAAACAGCAAGAGAACGAAGACCTCTCTCTGCAAACTTGTCAATAATAGCATGGATGTTCCTCTTCGCATCTTCCCTAAGGTTACAAAGGTTCATGATCTGTTCACAACAAAAATAAGTTCATATTGGTACATAACTAGAAATCTCACAAGTATAATAAACAATCAGAATCATCGGCTTACCTGCTCTGGAGCACCTTTGCTTGCACGGTGCCAATTTCCATTGCTATCAATGTAAGTCAAGGCAGTTCTCTTATCAACAGGATTGAATGGTAAGAAATGAACCTCTCTTACTCCAGCCCTTGCCTGCAAAGGGAAAATATTCATTCGAGAATTCAGTCATATAAACATTTTTCTAATTGCGTGTCAAACTATAGCAATTGATGCATTTTTATAGAGGAGTTACCTCTTTTGGATCAGCTAGAGTTCCAACAATGGCGGCATCTATTGCATCCTGATTTTCAATCCTGGAAGCCCTTGCAGCAAGAAGCATCACATGTTCCTTGTCCACACCCTTTTCAAAGACCTCAATCAAGTTCTTGTCAACACTTAACTTGTTAAGTGTAAGTGTACCAGTCTTGTCACTGCAAAGTACATCCATACCAGCCATTTCTTCAATAGCAGTCATACGCTTGGTAATAGCTCCTTGCTGAGAGAGCCTGTGTGAACCAATGGCCATTGTTACAGACAACACAGTGGGCATAGCAATAGGAATTCCTCCGATCAAAAGGACCAAAAGGTTGTCAATTCCATCTCTGTACTTGCGGTGCTGAATAGGGTACATGACTATTATCTCAGCCAACATACCAACTGCAATGGAACAAATACAGAAGTTTCCAATTGCGGTAAGCACCTTCTGGAAATGTCCAACTTGGTTTGTACTGTCCACAAGATGAGCTGCTTTCCCGAAAAATGTGTGGACACCAGTTGCAATGACAACAGCTTCAATTTCACCTTGTTTACAAGTTGAGCCAGAGAAAACTTCTTGCCCGGGATTTCTAGTCACAGGAAGTGATTCTCCAGTCAAAGCAGACTGATCAATCTTTAAAGGATCACCTTCAAGAAGACGAGCATCAGCTGGAACAATGTCACCTAGTTTGATGCTAATGATGTCTCCAGGGACTAAAATTGCAGCTTCCTGCTCAGACCATTTACCATCCCTAAGAACCTGCAAAAGCGTGGCAATTTTGAGTCAGTCCTTAAAGCAAGCTTGTTACTTCTAAATGCCTAAACAGTTCAATAGCATATAAACATGGAGCAAAACAATAAACTCAAGGCTTATAAACCATTTACTTGGTGCAGAACACAGACACAATTCAATTTATTACCTTCGTCTTAGGAGCAAGACCAGCCATAAGGGCTGCAGCGGCATTACCCGCGTTATTTTCTTCAATGAAACTGATGGTGGAGTTGATCACCAACAAGCAAACAATACCGACAAAATCTTGCCAATCCGGAGGCTTTCCGTCACCATTGGCAAGACCAATTGCCATCAAAGCCGCAGCTTCCATGACCCATGACAAAGGATTCCACATGAATCCAAGAAACTTGAGAAGTTTGCTTTCCTGTATTATTAAATTATTACCAATCAGCAACTGCATTAGTAATTGTATATTTTCAACATGTTAACCATTAATTCATGTATCATTAAAGAAATGAACCTTTTTCTCCTCTAGCTTGTTTGGTCCAAATATCTGAAGCCGATTGGCTCCTTCCTCCGAGGACAAACCTTCTTTGGTACATTTCAATTGTTCGAACACTTCCTCAACGGGAATATGTTCCTGCAAATTAACAAACAAACCGTATTAAAAAATTTGATTCTTTCCTACATTCTAATACATGACATTACATTGTCACTAGCATTAGCATATACCACAACAAGAAATTGAGTAGCTTCTTTATTAGTTATTACAATTTAGCAATCTTTTGTTCCTTTTTCTCCTTCAAACCTTCATGAATGCAATTGTTTTTTCCTTTTGTTCATTTTTCTGTTCTTAGTATGTTATAAGTAGTTGTAAAAATACTTGTCAAGAGAAAGAAGACCATTTTTTTACTACAGTTAAAAACCCAGAATCCAAATCAAACATATCCATATAAAAACATCAAAACCAATTCAATTAAACGCAACTCATAAATTTCTACTTCCTTAAGAATATATTTATAGAAAAAATCAAACAGATTCATTTTTAGTGTTTTGTCAAAAGAAGAAAATATAATAATATTTTCAATACTAATAATTAAAACTGTGTAAGTAGCTTACAACCGTTGAATCAAAAAGATAAAAAGCAAGTGGTGGTGGTCACATAGATCAAACGCCAACAACCAATCACAAAAAGCGTTGACTAACACGCTTATGCTTATCACCGCCCAAAACCAAACAGTATCTTACATCACAAGAGAGACACTTACAACCAGCAACCCATGTGTGACACCTTGTACTAGTTGCTTTCACATCTTAGGCCACGTTTGTTTCCATTAATATTATACACTAAAAATCATTTTTGTTTTCACCACCATGGTCCACTAAATCGACTAATTTGATTCTGAATATCAGTAGGTTTAGTCTCTTAGGATCGTAATTGTAGGTCCAAATATACATTTTTTTTTAATTGAAAAAAATCAAAATTAATTTTTTAATCACAAAACGGAATCACTTCCCAAAGAAAAAGTATACGACAAACTTCCATTAAGAAAGCAACAGTGTTTATTGAAAAATGTACACAAGAGGTTGAAGCTAAGGGCAAAATGGACAAAACGAAAAAGAATGGACCCAATTGTGTCAGAAAAAAAAGATCGTAAAATCATAAATGTGTGAGAGTTACTATGAAAACCGTTTATCAGTTAATGGAAAAATAACCTGAATTTTTTTAAAGAAAAAAGTACCACGGAAGAGTACTTAAAAAAAATTCCCTACTGCCAAACAAGGCGCAGACACAGAAAAAGACAGAGACGATTAGACATGGTAAAAAATAAATAACACAATAAACAACAATAATAATAATAACAATAATTAAAATTCAAATAATAAAATAATAAAATATATAAAAGTGTATTGAATACGTTAACCTAACTGTGTCAATCACGTTTGTTTAGATCCACTGATTCGCTGGAAAATTAAATTAAAAAAATATAAACCTAAAGTTATTTAGTATAAATTAATTTCATCTATGCGCAATTGGACCGGGAAAATTCATCTGTTTGGTATGAGAGAATTTTTTTTACCAAATTCATCTGTTTCCATAAGAACTAGGAAGAATAGAACTTGAAAATCAAAGGAAAATTGAGAACTAAGAAATTATTATTACGGTGAAAAATCTTTGAAAATTGACTAGTTTGGTGAGGGATTATACCAGATCAACGGTCTCGTTCTTGATTTCTTCGAGGGTGATGGATTTGTTGGCCGCCATGAGGAGGAAGAAGATGGATGGAAATTGGGAAGAATCAGTGGAGAGGAAGAGCTGTGGAGAAGTCTCTCTTTATAGTACTCACAACAACAGAATGGAGAGAAAGAAGGGAGAGAGAGAGTTTAATTTGGTGATGTTGACTATGATTATACATTGGACTTCGAAACCCACTTACTACCGTTTTGTGTTGTTTTACAAAACTGCCCTTGTTAGGTTTTTTATTTTGAAAATACCCCCTTGACTAGATTTTTATTTTATTGACAACTTATTAGGCGATTACTTCGGTTGAATAATGGTGTTTTGTTTTTTGTTTTAGGGCTTTGAATAATACAATTTCATATAAAAAGAGTCCAATCGAGTGGTTAGTCCACATTTAATTATTATGGTTTAGGTTTAATTAGATAAGTGTGTTTGAGTTTGATTTTTGACGGGAAAGCAAAATTGGAGTTAAAAATGTATGGCAAACGAAATGAGATGACTTGCGAAAGACAAAATTGAAATTAGAAATAAATGACATACGTAATATAAGATGTTGTATATTTAGTTGTTGTGGTGAAACAAGTGTTTTTATAAATTTTCTAATAATAGTAAATTTTTGTTTAGGTTTATTTGGGTTTAAAAATATATGACAAATGAGATGAGATGTGACGAAAAAAAACTTGAAGTTAAAAATATGAAAAATGTTATTCCTACACCCAATATTTACACCGTATGCACTATTCACAGTATTTATACGGTGAACAGTGTTTTTTTTATTAAAATAATATATTTTTTAAAAATATTAATTTAAAAAAAAATATATTTATTTTTAAAATTTATTTTATAACACAAATATAAGATTGCGCATTAACCAACTTCACAGTTGCATTAACCATAAAAATCTACATTATTAGCCAATTATTTTACCTATAATTTATTAACCACTTTCATTACTTCATTAACCAATAAAATATACACTATTAACCATGTTCTGAGAAATTTGTTCAAGTATTTGTGAACAGTAATTGAGGTGTAGGGTGTAGAAATGAGTGTCAACATAGCAATCCTGTAAAAATATATGACACATGAGATGAGATGTGACACGCATAGTCATTGTGGTGGAACAAACGTTTTAGTATATTTTATAATAAAAATACGCTTTTAAAAATAAAATCCAAGATCAACGAAAATAAATATATAAAAAAAGATATGGCACATAACTATCGATCACGGATTCGAACTTATGCTCCTCCAATCATATACTTTGCTCAATTATCAATTCAATTGATTTAATAAAATAATTTAATTTTTTTTAATTAAATACAATATATATTAATTTAATAGAAACACTTTATTCAAATGATTTTTTAAGAAAAAAGAGAATCTAAAGATTCAAAGAACAAAAAAGACTAAATAGTCAATCTAACATGTCTAGGAGTCGAGGTTTGTTTTATTACCAGTTAAAATTATATCCAACTCATTCTGCACAAGATTTAGAAGAATGAAAAACTCATTATTATTAAAAGTAAGATTATAATTGGCTATCCAATCTGCGCAATTTTTTTCCCGCCAAGTATGGTTGAGTTTGGAGGTTTTGCTCATCCAGTATCTTCTGATTAACCCTGTATATTAAGACTTTAAAGTCACTCTCGACCACTGGATTTTTAGTTCTCTAATGTCAATCTATCTCAATTCCATTTAATATCCCTCACATCTATGTAGTAAGAGTTTCACACTGACCAATTTTCCGCGCATATTCTCTTACTCAATTTTTGGATGAGTCCACAAACAAGCATCAATCTTTTATTGTAGAAGTATATTTCTTGTAGGCACTGTCACAATTGAGCTTGATCCAATTGTCATCTAGCTAATCCCATTGGATATGTTTAGTTTCTGGCTCCGATAACCTAACTAATCTGACCTGATCAGAAGGGAGTCAGTGACCTGCCACGCGTCGTTGATCTGCTAGCTGCTCACCGAAGGTATGGAAGAGGAGGGGGTGTACCTGAAACATACTCTGATGCCAAAGTAAGTGACGAGTAGAGTGGAAGCAAGTACAGAGAGAGAGTAAGAGAGTTAAGTTACCTGACCCTCTAGTGAAGAGGGTATTTATAGTGAGCCCCCAGCGCAGGGCCAACGGTTACCTAGTACTGGGCTGGGCTTACAGGCTCAATGTTGGTAACTGTTAGGGACGACGTGGCGTCGTGAAGACCTGCACGTAGTCTTCGCCCTAGGGTAACTGTTTCGCACTATCTGGGAGGAGGAAGACTGAATCTCCAGGACATGGGTAGTTACCTTATGACGTGTCCCTGCGTGAGGGACACGTGGAGAACGTTGGGGGAGGCTCGAGGAGCTCCTCGGGCAGGCTAGACCCTGCCCGACGACGGGGGAGAAAGAGGCTGGCTGGTCGACGGTGAGGGTCCTTCCCGACAGTTGTTGGCCTATACCCGACGCGAGGAAGGTTGTGCTCGACGGAACTTCTGCCCGCCAGTATGGTACTCTTGGGTCCAACCTCGTTGGGGTTTGGGTCTGCTTGGTTGTGGGCTAAGCGTCGGCCCAGTCCAGAACAGTATCCCCCCAAGTCGTTGTTCGCGGTCAGGAGAGCTATGACTTAAGCAGGGACTGGTGTCAGACGTGTCGATATGTCGGGCAGCCGAACTCAAGACTTGAGCAGGGAATGTCAATGGGCGTGTTGGTCCGTTGGGTAGAGAGCCATCGTGTCGGGTAGGTGGGCGTATGTCGAGGTAGAGCCCGTGGACGAGGGAAGAACTTGAAGAGACGCAGTGAAGATGGAGAGTCGTCACGTGTCTTCTTGTGACGGCTATGGGCTAGGCATTTGAGTGCCTAGCGATGCTTCGTTTCCCGTGCTAGGGATATATATATATATATATATATATATATATATATATATATATATATATATATATATATATATATATATATATATATATATATATATATATATATATATATATATATATATATATATATATATATATATATATATATATATATGTTAACCTGGCTCGTCTTTTCGCTCATTCGCCTATTTGCAGCTGCTCAACACCCAAAAGTTTTTGCTCGACACCTTCGATCGCCTCTGCTCGACATCTGGGATTTTTCTGCCCGACAACAACTTTTCTGCATTCATATCAAGTAAGTTTCCGCACCACTCTTTGTGTTTTTTTTGTTGTTTGTGGCGGTGTTTCCGGCGGCTCCGCTGGGGGTGTTGAGCACACCGCGGGTTTTTCTAGTGAATACGATGGAGGATCCTTCACAATTAGGGTAGAAACGACCGTCCTCGGCCCTTGCGATGAGCGTCCCAGAGAGGATGGAAAGGGACTTTGAGTGCCCCGAGGACAAAGGGATGAATGCCTCGAGTACAAGTGGATGTGTGCGCCGAGGACAGAGAGTGTGCTCTCTGGTTCTCCTTGGGGGATAAAGTTTCCCCCAGCTTGTCTTGTGGGCGGTTAGGCGACCACGCCCTTTCACTTGAACTGCGGTGGAATGGTGGATTTGATTTAGTTGTCGAATTCACCAAGTTCCTCTGCTTTTTAAGTATAAAATGGATGGTCACGCTGAGGAAGAGGTGGAGTGGTACTTATCCGCGGACGAGGAGGGTCGTGAGGACGAGGTCGATCTGGATCCACTAGAGAGACCTTTGGAAGAATGGGTCGGGGAGGAACCTCTAAATTATATGTCGAGGTTCGTCCTCGACGACTCTAATGCGTTCGCGGTGATAGAGGATAGGGTGGCTGGGAGCCCCCGTCAGTTCCGCGCATGCCGGCCCTGGGAGACCAATCGTATTTGCTCGCGGTATAATGGTGGTCAGTTCCCTATGTATGAGTTTGCCTTCAAGGAGGTGGGAATGCGAATGCCCTTCACCGGCTTCCAGCAAGGCGTTTTCGATCATCTAATGTTGGCGTCGTCCTAGCTTCATCAGAATTCCCTAGATTTCATCTGAGCATTCGAGATCGTCTGCAACTACCTGGAGCTCGGGGCCACCATTTTGTTATTCTTCTGCGTCTTCCACCTGCAACGTTAGACGGTTGCTGGTCGACACAACTGGGTTTCGCTGAAGCAGACGACCAAGCTCTTTCGGTCGTATACCGATTCTGTTCGGGGATTTAAAGATCGTTGGTTCGTGGTCATGCCGGACACAGACAAGGCGTATGAGACCATATTTAGGAAGGAAGTTATAGGCGTGGGCGGGAGTCGCCAGAACAACTATGAGTCTAACTTCTCTCTAGACTGGGCGGACCTGCATTTTCGCTCGGGTACAAACAGTTTCATCTTCAGGCCTGGTCGGCTGGGCGAGGAGGATAGCTTGGCCTTCCGAAGGCTAGTGGACTTCGTTGGTTGTCTTCCTCCTTGGAAATGTGTGTCCCCAGACGAGGAGTATATCTGCGACGCGGACGGGCAGATACTGACAAATACCCGGTATATTAATGTAAAGGCTTTGCTCGAATGTAGGACGAAGGTTGTGGCTCATCGGCTCCTAGGTATTTCGGCTGCCTCTGAGCTGATCTTGTTACTTGTTGTCATACCCTAAATTTGCCTGCCAACTTTTGTAAATATTTTCGTATTTTCTACTTTTGCATTTTTCATTTAATTTCATGCCGTTTAGACACGTATCCACCCTCGATTAAGCGTTTTTCAAATCTCGACTTTTTTGCCCAATAAGAGGGTGACACGTGGCCTAAGGGTATTATCGTAATTTCAATCCTTTGTTTATTTTCTCATTTTTCTTTTCAAATATTTATTTTCTGTATATATTTTTGTTTTAACTTTTTAATTTAATTAAGTTTAGAATATTTATTTTTTTAGAAATATTGAATAGGTTTTTATTATATTTTAGAATTAGAATAGTTATTTATTTTTCCTTTAGAATAGATTTTATTTTAATAGTTTTAACATAGAATATTTATTAGTTTTTTTATTATTATTTTTATTTTTTAAATAATGTAGAATTAGTTTAAATAGGTTTCTTTTTAATATTGTTTAAAAATAAATGGATAGAATAG